CGAAACCGAATTTTTTGACCGGTGCAACGGATACACTTTTAGCAGTTTTTTCTACATGCGAAGAAATTTGGTAATATCGAAGTTACTTTGAAAAATCACGTAAGAATTTCTAGCGACCCCTCGGAGCCACCGATCGACCGGGAAGGGTTAATTAATTTGGCCTCGAATCGAACTGCCCTAAGTTGTAATTGGTTTAGATTATTAGCAATGGCGACCGGCACTAGAGAAGCAATTAAGTCAAAGTGATCGTGTCGCTTTTCCGCGACTGCGCCAATTAAACTTCTGCCGAGTATTTCGCGAGCGAATCAGGCCAGCGATCGTCGAAAAATTTCTGGAAAATCTTAAAGCCCTCTGACAAAAAACTAGGCCTCGATTTTTCACATAATTTCGACATTACGCGATTTCGGTCGAGCTTGGAAAAAAGCGAACTCTCTGTCCCAATTTTGTGGCAGCAAGCCGTAATTTCGAAAACTGAGAACGCGTTAATTGAATCGAACAAACGGGTGCGTTAATCGAACTGCGGCGGTTCTATAGACTGACAAAAAATGATGCAATTCGCAGAGACGACAGCGAGACGGTCGCTTCGAGCGACGATATCTCGGCAGAGAAAAACGTGCGGCGACAGAATTAGCGCGATCAAAAATTGAGCGTCTAAGCCCTGGATTCGGGCGACTAATTTAGCCGTAATTGATCGGGGATAATCTCGTAACACCGGAAATTCGCAACTTCGCCGGCGCGGCGCGGCGTCACATTTACATTCATACCTGGCGGATGGCCGGCACGCGAGCCGGCAGTGATTAACAAGTTGATTTCGGGCACGGTAAACGCGGATCGATCCTCGAAATCCCCGATACACTCTGGTCACGCGTGCTCGCTCCTTCGGCGGCCGTTCGTTCGGCCGTGTAGCCGTCGCGGACCGGTTGGTCGTTTAACGGCGTATAAAACGCCATAATCGAAACGTCCCGCGGCGCGAATCGTCCGCCATATATCAGCCGCGGATCCGAAAAAATCTCTGCCCATGAATTTCAAGCGTGGAAGAAGAAACGTAAATATTACACGTCCCGTGGCCGCGACGCGCTCGCCGCGGTGGTGCGAAACGAACGGAGGGGAACGGAACATAAATATTAAAAGTACCTGAGAAAGGCTCTCGTACGTATCCGTCAGATGTCACGGGCAAAAACACGGCCCGGGAAACCGGGGCAAAATTAGATAGCGGCCGCGCACACACGTTCAAGAACGTCGTACACGAGTACCAACACAGCGGCGTGTATCCCGGTCGCGCACGCGGCCGCCTGCACCCACACCGATCGCCTCGGCTTGCACGTATCTATACATCGCGGAGAGAGAGAGAGAGAGAGAGAGGGAGAGAGAGAGAGAGGGAGAGAGAGCGTACTTCCAAAAACTGGGAATCTAAATGCAAATACACAAACACGGGCGAGCTTAAATCGCCGACGCCGGAGCGGAGACCCCGTAATTCACAAAACTTCTGCCCTCCCCCGAGTTCTGATAAAAACCATTGCCCCCCGTCGGCCACCCTGCTCCGGCCACCCACACCCTTCAGCTATTGATCGGCCGTGTCTGCTTAATAAAATCGAGATAAGAGCTGTGCCTGTCGGGCTTCGCCGTGACGGACAGAGACGCCGGATGACGAGGGTGGACCGTTTACGCCGACACGTGGGCGCTCCGACAAATACGGATGAAAATGTAAACACTTAAATCGCTGCTCGAGGAGAGAGAAAAAGAAAGGGAGCGAGGGAAGGAAGGGAGTGCTTCCGGAAAACGTGGCGGGAGAGAAGAATACCGTGGTTCTCGTCGCCGGAGAGGGTTTCTTAGAGCGTCCTCGAGCCGGTGCATAAGGAAAAACCGTTTCCGCTGCACTCGGTGCACCGTTATCAGAAAACCGGACGAAAGTGCTCAACGCTCGCGATCGCTCTCTCCCTCTCTCTCTCTCTCTCTTTCTCTCCCTCGCTCTCTCCCTTGCGACATTGTATTCCACGCTGCTGTTCGAACTGTTCGCGAGGCGTTCGTTATTGCGGCCGGCGCGCGGCGTAATTGCGAACAAATGGCCGCGGAAGGAAAGTGCGCCATTGACACAAAGCCGCGATAACGGCCGGACGTTCTTCCACTCGATCGTCGAACGAACCGTTCTGTTCGGCTAATTGTTACGTCAGTGTTTTGTGAATCGAATTGCGGGGGAGGCGACGTCCGATCGCGCCAAGTCCGGCGATAACGAAACGCGTTTTAGCATCGAGATGATTCGGCAACGAGAGAGACTGGTGATTCTCGTTTTGATAATTTTCATAATTTTATGAAAGTTTCATGTCGTTTGCTTCGTTAGGAAAGAAATGTCTGCGGTGTGCTAATTAGACCGCGTATATTTAAGCGTAATAAAGAGAAGTCCACCCGGATTGCAACAAACGCGAGTGTAATAAACATTTATTTTCATTCTTAACGTGTTCAATTAACAAGCAAGTAATCCACCAGCACTGTGGAATTTGTGAGTCCCCTGTACTCACTGCTTTGTATTCCATTTGCTCAGTTTTTCGTAAATGCATAAAATCCGCGGTCTGGTTGTAACTATCTTTACGTATAATATTTGGGGCATTCGCGTATTTTTCGACTGCCAGGAGACAGGCACGAACGAAAACAATTGCGAATGACGCCGCGATCTTATTTTTGCCGAAAGGCATTCTCTAATTGGTGAATCGAATTCGTTCCTCGTTCTGGTTCTTACCGACTCATCTGTAAAAATTGGAATTTCCTATTTTTACGCCTTTAAGCTATCAAACGATGATCGTATTTCCATCGCGAGGAGTTCTTTAATTGTTCGATTACATTTCCTCCTCGTCCCGTTTCTTAAACGATCCACGAAAATTGAGATTTAAATAAAAAAATCCGCAGTCTGCTAGCACGTGTAAAAGCTTGACGCACGTGCCCCAGCAGCGTGACAAATGTGTGACCACAGTTCTCTCTCTCCCTCCCTCTCTCGCGCGCAAAGAATATCAAATTAATTTCGCGGATGTCATTATTTAAAATTGTCGCTTTGCGCGGCTGAACGTTTGCGGCTTTTTCGTGGACGATATTTTGTTCGCGCTTTCGAAGAGCCGCGCGTTTAATTCAATGAACGAAATAATATAACCGCGAAAGCTGTTAACGAACGCGTCGCCGCTAGCGAGCATGTAAGTCGCTCTAAATGAAAAATTTGCGAAATAAAGATTGTCGTTCCCGTTGCGGTTACGCGTTAATTCGCGTCGCCGGCTGTTGACGTTCCATTGAATTTGCAACACGAAAATTCCGGATCGCGTCGGTCGGGTTCGACGAGTATGTGCTTCGTCGTCATCGTATTCCGATCGGGATGAATACATATATTTTGCGCGTCGCGTAAATTTTCCGGGCAAGCTGTTGCAACGAGATTCGTTCCCGTCTGTTTATTATTACCGGATATGATTAGGAACGAAGCATCCCGGTCGGGTGAAATTGACTTGAACGGTGCACAAGGGTTGAAGGAAAATTCCTGTCGGGGCAGACAATCTTGTTAATTCATCCGGACGGAATCGAGGTATCGACTTTTCGGTAACGACGTATAGTTAATTCCTCGGGCAGACGGTTCTACCGTGAAACAGGGTCTAGCCGGGACTACCGGTGATTATCCGGGTAAACAATCTTAAGTCTACGAACTTCTACAGCGAATCCCTGCGTCGGCCGAATTCCATTGGCTGCTCTATCTGCGACCTGAAACATCGTTCGAATTTTTCGCGAATATCGGTTCCGCGCGAACCGTGGCGAAACGGTGCTTAGCGTTTTTTGCCCGCGCCGCCGGCTTTGCGAAAAAGTGCGCATCGCGACGGATTAAAATATACGAGACGCGGCCGTGTATTAAATAAAGTATAAATCCCCCTTTCCGCGGGACGAACCGTATTTAAACAAATTTGCCGAATTAACGCGTCACCTGCTGCCGCACGCGTTCCATAAACAAAATTATCCTTCGAGTCGGGGAGGAAAACTGAAAAACCGTGAAATTAAAGAGAGAGCGATCGTCGCCGCGTCCATCGATCCGATTATTCGACCGCGGATCTGTACGAGATACTGGAAAAATCGTTCGCGTCGTCGAAAATCAACGGCAACTTCGATTTTTCTGCGAATTTTTTCCCTTTTTCCAAACGGAGAAAAATGCTGTATCACCGAAAGTCTCGTCGCGTCTTCCGAGAAGCCAATCAAAGGGTTAAACAGTAAGCCGTAGAAACAAAACAGTATCCGACAGAAAAAAAATCATTACCCCTGTGGAACGAGATTCGAGAAATTAAAAATCCGCGAAACGAAGGTGGAAGAGTAATCGGTACGATAAATCGCGCAACGTTCCGGTTTTTGCTCGATCCGAGCGACCCGCCGCGATTTCCTGGAACATTTATGGATCCGCAGTGGACGCGTTAAAGGAGGGAATCCGCAGCGGAATTTGACAAGAACCGGGTCGCCGTATTTATTTAAGAAATCGTATCACCGCGGAGCCGGGCTCGCTCCGCGATAAATCGAACGAAAGGGACGCGCGGAAATCCATAAATATCGCGCGCGCAGAATTTCACCGGTCCGAATCGTTGAAATGGCCGGGCGTCGCGACGCCGTGCGCGCCGGAAACGCAGCGTGTTTCTTCCGCGTGTGCGCACGCTCGCGCGAGCAAGCGAGCGAGCGAGCGAGCACGGCGGACGACCGAAACGTTTATTTCAATTTCATTAACCGTTCGTTCGACAAAATCAACTAGAATTTCATTTATCCGACCGTTCCAATTGGAGGGTCGCGTGGCCGGCTGAAACGCTGCGAAACGTTAAAACCTATTAAAAATGCTTCGGCTACGCGGAAAAACCGAGCTGCGGTGCAACGCGGCGCGGTCCGGCGCGGCACGGCGCGGCGAGCATTCCGCTCGGACGCCGATATATCGGATATCGGGTGCAAGAACCCCGGCCCACGCAAAACGGCCTCGTATCGGTGTTTAATTTCACGCTTACCGACAACCTCGAGGAACAGAAATATACTGGTGGGCGGATGGGTAGACACTTGGCACTGGTACAATCCGGCATCCCTCGGCTGAACGTATTTTATTTGGAGCGTCCAGTCCTCGCTGTTCAAGAAATGAATCGCGTGGAAACGCTCGTCGTTCGAGTACGTCGTCATCCCGACGGTCAGTAACTCCTGCGACTTCTTCCGCTTGATCCACGATACCTGGGCAAAAAGTCACGTTAACGAGCACGATCCGTCGCAGTCGCCGCAAACGGCATCGGCCGTCACCGTCGACGATGACCGGAGCCGTTCCGGCACACAGGCCGCCGACGGTGTATCCGGTTATTGCCGGCTGAGAATGACGCCTGTCCGCGCCATGACGGCCGAGTGGACGCGCACTCGTCGAAAAATATGGCCAAACATTCGTTAATGGTCGCAGCGTAGAGTGATACGCTATGTTGTTATCTTCCGAGGCCTCAGAGCTATCGAAATCTCCAAACTCTGTGACTTCTCTATCTCTAGAACCATTCTACCATTCTATCTACAGTAATGTCTCTCTAATTCGCGCTCAGATTGTCCACAGAAATGGAGAATTTTGGAAGTGGTGATACGATTATTCGAACTTCGTGGCTTGTTCTTATAGTTGCTGATTGCCAACAATTATGAAAAACGAGGTGCAATATTCGAACAATCGTATCTCATCTTTCCAAATTGTCCAGTTTTGTGCACAATCTGAGCGTCAGTTAGGGAGACATTGCTGTACAGTAATGTCTCTCAGATAATAGTAATGTCGCTCACAATCTGAGCGTCAGTTAGGGAGACATTATTGTATTCTGTCTGAGCCGATTTCTACCCTTGCACGGTATTTGTTTACCGTCGCGAACGAAAGTGTTCAATAGAGATTGATCCAGTGTTCTGTATCATTTAATCAGTTAGCTGTGTTCGACGAGTATACTCGTTATGAAGAAGTGGCAGTATTTTCTGTCACGACGAGTATACGTCGCAGTCATTGGCCATTTAAATTGTAATTTCGGTGATTACAAAAACGTATTCTGAGATTTCAAGATGTTTAGAATATTTTGTAGACCAGAATATAAAACAGACAAATAAAAGGTATGAATAATTATATGATTAATTCACGATATTGGTGTTCCTTGCTATGCTGAATACCACTTTACAGCAGCAATTTTCCTCCGTTTTTCATTTATTATGTATGTAGCACATGTGAACGTTAAGCGAATAAGTAAATATCGGTAATCGAATTGTCAATTTTACGAAATAAAACCGCCTTGCGAAAAAGGAGGCGCCGCAGCTAACCGATCAAGTAGAAATAAATTCGGTTCGTTCGATCGTTACAATTTATTATTTCGCTTCCGTTTTAGATCCCCACGGTATAATTCTGGTGTAAATAACTTCGTAAAGGGCCCTTCGATCTGCCGATAACTTTTTCCAAATAACTCGTTGCTTGCTCCGAATAAAAAGGAAACGACTGTCCGTCCACAAACGAGCCGCGATAAATGGCACGCTACAAACATATCTGTTCGAACGACTGTTACGCTCTTCACCGCGCGGCAACGACACCGAAACATAGTGAAGATTCATCAAAATGTCAAACATACATGGTGCAACTACAGTGTATCCATTTCAGCCGTACGTTCCATATAAAAATCTTTTATTTTTATTAAAACATACAATATTACAAACGCGGCTCTTCTTTCTGCAAGGATTATTAATGTTTGCCACGGGTTCGAAGATATGAAACGGTTTCGTTTCAGCTTCGATAATAATAAAAAGATAAGAATTTTAATGAAATTCTACTGTATATAATAGCTTCGGCGGAATATTAATCTTCGATCATTCGACTCCAAACCTACCGAACGTGAGAAGCGATTGATCAATGTTACAATGGGTCTTCGTAACTCGAACGATACTGAATCGAATGAAATATTGCAGTTGAAATTAAAAAAATGTGAAACCGGCGATTTTGACGGGCACTTTGCGCACGATGTATATAAAGCAAAATAATGTTTCCGACGTTGCATAATATTTAGCCTCTCGCAGAGGATACTAAATGAAAGAATATTAAATGAAAGAATATTAAATGAAAGAATATTAAGTGAAAGAATATTAAACGAAAGAATATTAAATTAAACAGTACTGAATTAAATAAACGTGATTCCACCGGAAATGTGGAACGAACCTTTTCCCATAGAACGGAGCTCGGCGATTCGTCAACCGCATTAGTATGTAGAATAAGTGGAAACGGTAGGTCATGATCAGACAGGTCGATAGCAGTTCGGTAGCACGCGTGGCTTAGGAATTTTCGAACAGGTGTGCATTAGTATGTATAGGAAGCAGAATCGGTAGATCATGGCCAGACAGCAGCTAATACCTGTTCGATGGTAAACGGGACCCGGCTGCTTTCAAATTCGTTGTTCTTTAAACCGTGGCACCGTGCGCGAAAGTCCGGTCGCATCTTCGGCGAGCCGTTCTTTTCCGGTCTTCGATTCAAACGCACGAACGGCCACGGTATACATACATAATTGCGGGCAGTTTTGTCCAAAAAAATTCCGGTCCTCGCTTTTAACGAATCGGACGCGATTCACAAGCACGCGAGTTACCGAGTTGCACGTTGGGAAACGTGAAAAGTAGGAGGTGCGTTTTTTCTAGGAAATTACTCGTTTCAGTAACTCCGCGGCTAATTGGGAACGGGGAGTTTAAAATTGAAAGCACTTGAAATGGCTGAGGAATGTTAACGAAACTGTTAGCACCGCGAACTACTGTGCATTAAATTGGCTGGATCTTCGTTTCCTGTTGCCGCGGCCGCATTGTTCCCGCGCGGAATAGATTAATTGCAGGCCAGAAAATCTGAAATCCTTAATTCCGCGGCGAAGGGCTCGCCGATCCGCGTATTCTCGCGCGAGGGGAGCCGAAGCTTTCGATGCCGGGGGTTTCTATTTCGCCACCGAATTAACCCTTTACATTGGAGCAACGATTGTTTTATTCGGCACAGTTATTATTTAAGACCGTTCGGTGACGGTACTTCGGCGGATAGAGCTGCCGCAGCGAAAGGGTTAAGAGTGCGTCCCCTTTGCGAAATCGACGCTTCATCTTTTTCGCTGGGCGAGCTGCCGCGGGGCGGATCAAAACCGACGATCGGTGAAGATGGAAGATAAATTCGGGGACGCTCGGCACGCGAACTCGCGATCCAAGTTCCCTAAAAAAATCGACCGATGAAGAACCGCCGCGACGGCTGCTGCGTCGCTTGATACGCTTCGCAGCCGGTGCCGGCTGGATCACGGACAACCGTAATACCGGATAGCGTTCCTTACGGCTAGTAAAATTAGGATTATAACCGGCGGGAATGTACCGCGAACGTCAGCAACCGCGGCCGCGGGAAATATTTGACGAGCCGGTAACGAGAATAAGAAAGAGGCAATAATAATTTTATGATGGATCGCGTTTCCCGGCAATATCCCCGCGTGGACCGTTCTTACGGTGGGATCGAATCTCCGCCGTCTATTCGGGCCGGGAGATTGCAAACGTTCCCGTCCAATAAAAATCACTGGTAACAAGCCGGGTAATTCACTTCCTCCGACGCCGTATTGCGCCGACAAATGCGGCCCGTTCCCGGCCGAGATTTTAATTAATTGCCCGAAGGTGTGCACAATAATTCCCAACTATCGGGCAGCGTTGCCCGGCGATTTTCTTCCGGCCGGGACCACCTGATATTGTTCCTGCCCGGAACAAATAAGCGCTGTCTGCTCGCGACGGTCACCATTCACTTCCCCGTAATATCCAACCCCGCCGCTACCATTGTCTGTCCATTACGGTCAGTAACTACTGGCCCGACGTTACGACTACCAGCCTCCCACCCTTTAGTCACTATTTTCTATCCATGGCCAATAAACGGCATCTACTTCGCGATGGTCATTAAATTCCTGTCCGGCAACGGCATCGATCCACCCTTCCGCATCGGCAGAATCCACCCGAACACAGCCTCTTACGTCCCTTTAGAAATTTATTTTTACCTTTACAATCCCTTGCCGCGCTTTGACGAATCCGACTGCTGATCGACGTTCCTGGTAATAACCTGTTAAATACGAATGTTATTCCGGTTCTCTCGAAACGGAATGGAATTCTGATTTATCCACCGCGGAATCAAATTTTCTTCACTCCTCGTCGATATTTAACACCGTGACTGCCGCGGCGGCGATCTAAAAAATTCTACGAAATTACATAGAGTAATGTCTCCCTAATTGACGCTCAAATTGTGCACAAAAATGGACAAGGCTCGAACAATCGTATCTCCTCTTCCAAAATTGTCTATTTTTGTGGACAATCGATGCTACACTGGCACCCCAATCTATCAGGAAATCCATCCTACTAGTCTCAGTAACTGGTCCAAAATTTTGCTATCGACCTAGGTGGACCAGTTACTGAGACTAGTGGAATTGGTTTTCTGGATTTTTCCGATCTGTCCCGAAAATGAATTCCACTAGTCTCGGTAACTGGTCCCCCTAGGTCGATAGCAAAATTTTGGACCAGTTACTGAGACTAGTAGAATTCATTTTCGAGATTTTTAGATCTATCTGGAAATCCATTCCACTAGTCTCAGTAACTGGCTCCCTAGGTCGATAGCAAAATTTTGGACCAGTTACTGAGACTAGTAGAATTCATTTTCGAGATTTTTGGTATCTGTCCGAAAGTGAATTCTACTAGTCTCAGTAACTGGTCCAAAATTTTGCTATCGACCTAGGGCTGTCTCTTATACACATCTAGATGTGTATAAGAGACAGCCCTAGGTCGATAGCAAAATTTTGGACCAGTTACTGAGACTAGTAGAATTCACTTTCGGGATTTTTGTCATCTGTCCGGAAATGAATCCCACTAGTCTCAGTAACTGGTCCACCTCGGTCAATAGCAAAATTTTGGACCAGTTACTGAGACTAGTGGGATTCATTTCCGGACCTGTCTCTTATACACATCTAGATGTGTATAAGAGACAGGTCCGGAAATGAATCCCACTAGTCTCAGTAACTGGTCCAAAATTTTGCTATTGACCGAGGTGGACCAGTTACTGAGACTAGTGGGATTCATTTCCGGACCTGTCTCTTATACACATCTAGATGTGTATAAGAGACAGGTCCGGAAATGAATCCCACTAGTCTCAGTAACTGGTCCAAAATTTTGCTATTGACCGAGGTGGACCAGTTACTGAG